AGATTTTTCATCTTCATTTGAAGGTTTTCTTGCAGAGTATGGTAGTAATGCAGATCACGTCTTTCTATTCTCATGCCAAATGAAAAAAGACAAAATTTTAATATTTGAAAGAGAAAGCAAAGGAGAGAACGTGTTCCCTTTTGGACTTGGGGACCATACGGTTCCATTACTCTTTCATTTCCTCGCTAATGAATGTTTTACAAAGTAGTGATAATCCTTTTCAATGATGACTACTAAAACAGGCTCTGTTACGATTTTGTTATTTTATTATTTTCTAAATTGTTGGTTTATTTAAGTTAGTGGATAGATTTAGGTAGTTACTAGGTAAGTCCTATACTGGATAGTTTATTTTAGTTTAATATGTTTAATTGTAGTAGTAGGTAGTTATTATTTTCAAATTGTATTTTGTCTATTTAAACTCTCATTACATGGAATAAGAAATCATCAGAAGTATTATTTGAAAAAAAAAATACTATGTGCAAGAGGTCAGACTTCTTCAATAAAGCCATTTGAGGTCAGCTTTCTCAATAAAGTCAAATTTCTATTTTTATTTATTTTGTTAATAACAATTGGTATCGGAGCTCAAGCATGGACAAACGCGTTCAGAAATTGGAAGACGTGGTTCAGTCTTTGTCGCAATTCAAGGAGTTGTTCAACTAATTCTCCAACTAGCTGGACGTCTTGGGGTCTAGGCTAACACGACAAAGAGGAGCTCATTCTGCGAATAATTTTAATGCTAAACCAGCAGGTTTTATAGCCCCAACCAATCTTGGCAAGAACAGAAATGACACTAACCCAGTTCGGCGATTGACTTTCAAAGAAATTTCTGATAGACGACGGAAGGGGATTTGTTTTCGCTGCAACAAGGCTTTAACTCCTGGTCATCGTTGCAAGATGTTATTTTCGATCAAAGCGGTGATGGATGAAAGAGATGGAGAGGCGGATATTAAAGATGATTCAATTACTTGATCTTACTCTTGAGGACAAGAGTAATTTTAGGGGGAGGGGATGTTACGATTTTGTTATTTTATTATTTTCTAAATTGTTGGTTTATTTTAAGTTAGTGGATAGATTTAGGTAGTTACTAGGTAAGTGATGTAGTGGGTAGTTTATTTTAATTCAATATGTTTAGTTGTTGTAGTGGGTAGTTATTATTTTCAAATTGTACCGTGTCTATTTAGACTCTCATCACATGGAATAAGAAATCGTCAGAAATATTATTTGGAAAAAAGCACTCAATGCAAGAGGTCAGACTTCCTTAGTAAGCTATTTGAGGTCAGACTTCCTCAATAAAACTAAATTTTCATTTTTATTTATTTTGTTCGTAACAGACTCATGATAAGGCTAAGTGAAATCAGAAGGCTTTCTCGTGAAATTAGAAATAAAAATAAAACACCAAGTCCTACAAGATTTTTGCTTTGTTCCCAAGTAACTTTTGTAATAAAAAAGGGAGGGGGACAAAAGCGGTGTAGATTTGTGTACCCGTCTTAAATTTGTGGTTGTGGGATATTATGATAAACTCATAGTTTATTATATTTTTAAGGAATAAAATCACTCTTATATTTAGTCAAAAATATGAAATCTCAGAGTTATTTGACTAAAAAATATTAACTTTAAATTATTAACTTATGAGAATGATTCTTGCTTATTTTGTAAGACAATCTAGTTGAATTTGAGTATTGAAGCAATGGTTAAGCTAGAATGACTTAAAATGATAAATGAGAAGTAACGATTTACTCAAAATCTCCATGAAGCTATCTTTTGGCCAATTTTTTGTATCAAAGATAATGGATTTGGATCGTGTGTTATTATTATAGAAGTTGCAAATCTTTTTTCTATCTATTCAATGAGACTAAGATCTCATTAATCGAACATGTATAGCTCAAGTTATGCTCAAAATACGAAACCATAATTTTGCTATCAAAATATCATTTTTTTTTTAACGCTCGGTTGTGACCAATTAAGATCCATTATGTGATTTTCACCTAAAATAAGGATTCCTACACCTATTTAAGCTATTCTTCATAAGTTCTTGATATCACTTGACACCTAAAGTATAGTTTTCCTGGAGAAGCACATTCTTCATGCTTTTGAGAGTTAGAGATGAGTCAAAGGCAAGATTATGCTGGAAACTTTAAAAATTCATCACTCCATCACACCAATGGAGTTTGGAGAATCTTTCTTAATTTCTTGTGTTCTTTTTTCTACTATGTTAGACTAGTTTCCTTTGTAGTTAGGGCTAGATGGAAATGGAACTTAATCAAATCTTTATGTTATGAATAATATTTAATGTCAAATTTTCCTTTTTATATTAAACAAATTTATCTTTTCTTCATGCCTTCTATGAGTTTAAACTTGTAGATTGATCTAGGGTGAGTGTATGGCAATAGGAATATTAGTACATGAACCGTGCGTGGTAAATTCATTGTTAATTCTTACGATTCTAGGAATAGACATATGAATAATGCAATCTTTATGATTCTTGGATTTAATGCTTATTTTATTTTTTGAAAAACAACCAGAGAACTAGGATTCTCTAAACAGAGTAAAGAATTAGGATGTCGATGAATTGAGTCTTAATTAATTAGGGAAATCGATTGGTGATATGAAAAGGACGTTTAATTAAATATTTTAATTCATAACATAAAGAGGAGATTGGAAGAAATCGAAATCCTAACTGTATTTCTTGATTGTCGAGTAACTCGATTTTTGCTTTATTGCTTTGTTATTTAGTTTAGTTTTTATACAATTCTCTTGATCAATTGTTCAACTTAAGCGTAAATAGCAAATTAGTGGTTGAAATTCAATCCTCATGAAAATAATAGTCTTACTTAATCACTTTATTACTTGTATGACAAGTGTACTTCCTGAGTCCGCAATAATATGGGTTTTATAAAAGTTATGTTGTAGGAAAAATGATTGTGTTAGAGATTCGTTTTGCGCGCCGTAATTTTCTTTTTTTCTTTTTTCTTCAAAATGTGTGGGCCCCACAAAATATTGTGTGTGTAAAAAAGTTTGTTGTGTCATGTTAAATGACAAATGCGAATCTCCAATAATATACTACTGGGTAGACCTGCTTTTTTTCAATTTTTCTTGCATGACCATTGCCATTGCGATTGGAACACAAAGTGTGACCCACACAGAGTTGTCAATAAGGCCGTAAGCCCATGGACTAGCCCACATTTCCCTAATTTTTGACTTGAAGAGCAGAATAGTGAGCCTCTGTCACCCAATCACAAATAGTGTGTCTCTTCTGCTTTTGGTGATTGATATTGATATTTAGGTTCACAGGGATAAAAGTGAATTGTATCTTGTAATGCAAAGGCCAAGTGATCATTAAGCCATTCTCTTGGTTGCTTTTTTTTCTTTTATTTTCTTTAGGTGTTTCGGTAATTGATGAGACTATAGTTAGGAAGCTAATTGTGTCTACTTTCTCTTTTTTGTGTCAAAATCTATTTCAGAATTTAGGAAGAATAGAGAATGACGGGATAAATTTTTGATTGCGAACAAAGCCACTGTCTATTTCTTCCATCTGTTTGAATTCCTATCTTCTACTGCAACTAACCATCGTAGTTTGTAAATTTCTCTAGATGAGATGTTGTGTAAGGAAATTTATTTTTTTCTTAGACTGATTAAATAGTTCTCTCCTTTTTGTACTCTATTGGCTTCTCATATGATATTCATTTATTTATTGATTTTTAATTTATTTATTTATTGCAAAATAGCATGGTTTTAGCTCACTTTGTTGAATCGATTTTGGCGTGGTGAATTCAGGTGTTGTCTTTCCATTTTGGCTAGGCAACTTCATTAGTTTCGCATGTTGTATTTGATTTGAGTCATTTTTACTAATTAAATATGTTGTTACCAGCCCTCATTTTTATTTGATTTAAATTTTCCAATTTTACTAATCATGAGCTTAAGGTATTAAAATAAATGGATTTTTTTTTTTTTATAAACCATAGGTATCCTTCACATGGGAGACAATTATGTTCGGGGCGAGTCAAGATTAAGATTTTAAACTCTTCTAAAAAATGATACTGAAAAAGATCAAACACGTGCTCTCATCCGAAAAATAAAGGGGATTTGAAACATGCTATTTAGTTACAATATCATACTTGCACAAGACCATCTATTTAATGGGAACATTATAATGAAATATAATTTAATAATTCATACCAATCAATAATTCAGTTCATCTTTTGAGTGTTTAACCCTTTTTAGATTAAGATATTCAAAGACTAGGTAAAAATTGAGCATTGTGGAATATCTTTATCCGTTTGTCAATCAACCATAGCAGTGTCATTGTAACGAGATATTATACGAACTTAGAAAAATTTAGTAAGCTCATACAGTGGGACTTATGGACAGCTTACTTAGAAAGTTAGACTTGACCCACATGAAACCCCATGCAAACTTTTTAGCCTTATGGGCTTTAACTTTTGTGCGCTTTTTAGCTCGCATCAACGAACTCAGCTAACACATTTGTTACCCTCGGAGGTTTGAACTTTGTTCTCAGTGATTACTGATTAGAGCTATCATATTCGGAAGTGGATTTTTTCATGTGAAAAGATAATCATGTGATCATATTATTTGATCACAATCATTCATTTAAAAATTATATATTTTTCTATCTCTTATCTCATCATTAATGAGTGATTATGATCAAATAACATGACCACATAACCACTTTTCATACGAGAAGATTCACTCCCATGTTATTCTTAGTTTCTAAATTCACTTTATTACACATTGTTTTCAACCCAAATTTTATCTAAACCCAAACATCAATATCAATTATAATTAAAAGGCATTTCTCATTTGATTATTGATTATTTAGTATTGAGGAGAAAAATTAACCAATAACGACAAAATAACAAACTATGCTCAAAGACAATATACAACTTGTTTTCTTTTTAATAATAAAAATGTACATGATTTCATTGGTAGTTACAGAAACGTTTTACAAATATATGTTTGAGAGACCATTCTTTGATTTCTAATCAAAGACAACCCAATATATAATTAGCTTAGACAAATTTTTAAAAAAAAAAAAAAAATAGAAGGAATGTGATTAAGTAAAAGACTAACCAAGTTAGCTAAAAATAACACCAATCTAGAGGCAGAAAACTCACATTGCATCCATCTCCACCTCTTTGTCCTAAACATTTTCTTACATGCCCATAAAATTACATAACAGAATAACCTAAAAAGAAAAAAAAAATTATTAAAAATAAAACTGAAAAAAAATATATGTTTTTTGTTTTCTCTTGACATAATTAACACTTCTCTTCTCTTTTGTCTTTTTTTTTTTTTAACTTTAATTATTTTGGTTCCACTCACTTACACTGTGACGACGAGAAAAAGATCATCATGATTCATATCCGTGAGAGACAGGTGCACATGATCAACAAGTACAAGAGATGCACCTGATCAGGCCACTCTCATTGCAAACCGTACACGTCTTGAACCCACCCTTCTCCGTGTACACCTTGTGCACACCTGAGCACACCCCGCAGAGGACGAACCTATGATCGCCGCACACGTGGCACACGCGGAAATGCGAATCCGCTGCGGGCAAACCTTCAAGGAGCTTCCTGAGCTCGCCACTCTCATGCAGCCACCTCACCTCCTCGGCTCCACCCACGTACCTACCGTTAATAAAAACCCGGGGAAGATTCAACCCGGATTTTCGACCCATGACCCGACGAAGCTCGGAAAGAAAACCCGAGTCCATGGACACGTCTCGCTCGTCCAAAGCGACCCGAAGCCCGCGCAAGATGGAACGCACCGTTTTGCAATCCTCGAACGTAGCACGCACCACGCGCAGGCTGGTGAAGTAGACCACCACGCGCTGCTCTGCTCCCGGAATGGATGCCGGAGAGTCCGGTTGGGCGGCGCGTGGGTCACCGGGATCGGGTTGGGTGAGTTTGGGGTGAGTTGACCAGGTTCGGAGGAGCGAGTTGGCGAGTGTGACTCGGTGGAAGATGGAGGGTTTGGGTTTGGTAGTGGAGGGTTCGTCTAGGAAGAGGGTTTGAATGTCTTTGAAGGAGGAGCAGGAGAAAGAAGATGAACATGATTTGTTCCATGGTCGCCACATTGAAGGTGGGAACAGGGAAAAGGTTGTGTTTTTCTTTTTATTGTTTTCTTGGGAGATTGAGATTTTGGAGAGGGAAAGATGGGATTTTTGAAAATGGGAGATTTTGGGTTTTGTTTTGTTTGTTTGTTTGGGATAAAGGGTAGGATTTGGTTGTTTAAAGTTTGGATTTTGGTGATTGAGGAAAGAGATGCATAAGTGGGTGATTTTGCATTTTGTTCAAGAGAGAGAGAGAGAGAGAGATAGAGGTGTGAAGGGTTAAGGGTTAAGGGTGAGGCAGAGTGAGGAAATAGTATGGAAATAGTATGGAAATGGGGTAGAGTGGAGAGTGAGATTGTGGTGTGGGGGTTGTTAAGGTTGTTGAGGGGTTGGTTTATTTTGCTTTTATGGGGGTTTTAAGAGGGAGTCTGCATTTAAAAAAGAATGACATAAGTTGTAGTTTATGAATCTAATTGGGGTTATTTTTTTCTTTCTTAATACAAGGGTTCATATATCCTAGTTACAGGCACCACCTACTTCAGTAAAGTCAAAACCAAGTCTCTGAGACCTATATGTACTTATGCTAGTTTTACACTGAAAAGGAGCTCCATTTATTGTTGCTCCTCTCCTATTGCAATAAAAATTAGTTTATGAACATTAAAATAAAAGCAAGATTCAAATCAAAATTTAAGATATACAGCAGAGTGTAGTGAAATTGGATATAAATGATAGTTCATCAATACTTGAGAATGACTTGAGACTTGAGAGGGTGATGTTTTGAAGCTACAGACATTGCTCATTAATTGCAAAGATTGACAATTGCTTGCACCATCCTTTCTACCAGCAGACACTGGCAGCTCAACCAACAACAATTAGGACTGCACTGATGGACCCTTTTTGTTATTATGTCATTTTTTACTATTGTAAGTTTTTTTTTAAATTAAATCACTATTGTAAGTTTGAATAGAGGGAAAAAAATAAAAATAAAAAGTACTAAGTAGCATAACAGACTGCAAAAGAGGCACTTGGGCCATATGCTATTATAACAAGGCGTGTTTGAGAGTACAGCATCAATGGCTTAGTTGCAAAAGCTAAAGGTTGTGGATACTGAAAAGTTTCACATGGTGGCAGGGTAAGAAAAAAGTGCAAGTCAAGGAAGGATCCAAGATGGTAAACACAAAAAGTCCAACCCACATGCCATGTTGTGACTTATCTAATATTGAAAAAGCTAGAGGGGTGGCCCCATTTCTTTTACTCGTGTGAACCAATATTGAGTTTGTGGCTCTGACTGCTCAGGCATCCAATGTTTTGGCATTTAAATAAACGATTTCACACTCACTACCAGATGAGAATTCAGAACCTTGAGAAAATCTGTCTCGCATTCCTGATTACATTGTGGTTTGGTATGATCACAGGCTGGCTGCAAGTGAAGTTATTGGGATTCCATCACATCAATTTTTTAATGACCCTACTATGGCGCAAAATAATAAATTAGATTATTAACTTTAACATATATAGAAAGAGAATGTTCACAAAATAACTACAGAGATAAGTAGCTTCTGTCTTGGATTGTAAATGTTTTTAGAGTGGTATGGTCTAATTTGTTGTCTGTTTAGAATTTGAACTTTTTTTTCTAATTGTTTTGAGTCAATAAAATTTCTATTTTTACTGGAAAAAATTTCTGCGTAGCTAGGAATAAGGTTATAGCATCCACTCAAACAAAAATAATTAGTAAACACTAATTTATCTTTTTTGTTATACTTGTGTAAGGAAGAACATTAGACCACAGTGCATATAAAGCAGCTTGAGCGATATTTGACTCCTGGGGATATGCAGTACATAATTCTTTGCCCATTTTATTACTAGTTTGCTTATTTTTCACTCTTCCAAACTTGGATTATAGCTACACAACGTAAAATCACTCCCCACATTACATCTAATTGTACAAAAGCATTAACACAAAATTCTATATTTACAATTTCTGCCACATGCTATAAAGAACCTTGGAATACACCACCCCAAAAGCTAGCTCAAAGGGTGGGAGTGTCCAAAACCTTATAAACTCCACATTAGTTGCTCATACAACCAATGTGGGACTATATATCTCAACACGCCCCCTCACTCGAGAACCCATTGGGTTTGAAGAGTGGAAGATGCAACAGGCCCAGCCTACCTGTGCTAAGAAAGTCCACAAGAGAAAGTGGAGGGCGGCGAGGCTCTGATACCGTGTAAAGAACCTTGGGATACACCACCCCAAAAGGTAGCTCAAACGGTGGGAGTGTCCAAGACCTTATAAACTCCACATTAGTTGCTCATACAACCAATGTGGGACTATATATCTCAACAATAGCAATATTGGAAGTTATTTATTTTGGTAAATTGAGTCCAAAGCCCAAAATACCGAGCCAACTACTATTTGGGGCATGGAACCTCCCATAACATCATCAGAAATCCAAAAGGAACATCTCTCTTGGAGGAACCTTTAGCAAATGTGGCCTTATAATAGATGAAGTTCATAATCTCCAAAGAGCCTATTGGCCTTAAGTGGGTTCAAAACAATATTCATTCTAGTTACAACCATGTCTTAGTATAATAAGGTATAAGCTTCAAAGGGAATAGAAGTCTAACTAAGTTTATTTGTTATTGTTTCTTCATCCCCTAATGTGCCAGCAGCAGCAAGTTACATCAAGCAAACAATTCCATGAAAGTGTGGGGTCTAACCCAAACTCACCAGAAAGGCTTGGAAGCATCAATTCCCTCAGTTCCTAAGATGAAGAAGATCATTCTGTCTTTCTAGTTTTATCAATTGCTGCCATGGCAATCAATTGCAGCCCCTCAAAATATAGCTAGCAATGCAACCATCCCATCTGTATTTCAATGAACATTGGTCATTAATCTGTCATAAGATAAAGAAAAGCTATAATTTTACAGGAATATTATCAGGCAGCACTGAAATATATTTTATTCACTTCCAGCAAGAAACATGTTCAAGGTCCTATTTCATTTTCTCCATTGGAATCTCAGCAAGAGAGCATGTGAACAAGAGCAATCTTCTACTTGTGCTGTGCCAGGTGTGCTGCCAAGGTGCCAGGGAAAGGCCAAAGAATAGTCAAATGAAAGCTCCGAAAG